CGGTGAAATAGGAGACCACGCTGCGGTTTTAGTATGACCTGAAAACCCTAGTGGGAAGACTCCCCAAGAACAAAAGTAAACGTCTTTGCCTTCGCCCTCTACGGGAGGCGTCTGCATCGTCACAGCTTGAAACGCTCTCCGGCAATATTGACACCGCAATGCGCAATCCTCGTAGCCCTTCGAGTACTCGAAGAGTACAAAGCAGTATGGACAAGATGTCCAGAAGCTCGAAGCCGTAGGTTCTGTCTGAGTTTTCCAAACCCCAACCCCCCCCCGCCGCATCGTTCGAATTCGGACGCTGTTGCCACTGAAATTTCTGCTGCGGCTGCTGCTGCTGTCGGGACTGCAGTGGCTGATACGGCTGTTGTTGCTGATTCCGGGAACCGGGTTGGCCGAGTTGAGTCAGCTGCAAATCGCGATCATATAGAGACTTCCTAGACGGGTCAGAGAGCACGTACCAAGCATCAGAGACGAGCTTATACGCCTGATCAGCGAATGAGAGACAATTGACCTTCGGATTGAGGAGAAGCGCGAGTCTCCGGTACTGAGTCGCGATGTGTTCGGGGTTCTGAGTCAGGCGAACGAGTCGGAGCACGGCGTACCAGTCCGGGAGGTTCGAGCAATTGACGAGAGTCTCTCCGGCGATGAGAGTGTCGGAGATGGCAAGGATGTAGTCCGCCGCCCCGGCTCGGGTCGGGTCAGCCTCGCACGCACGGATAGCGAATGTCTTCGCTCCCTGAAGGTCTCTGGCGGCCAGTAGCTTCTCCGACGTAACCAGCCACCGATCCGCCTCCGATCTGTCACCTCCGCCGCTTGCCATTTTCCTTTTTCCCCTCTTTTCTCTCTGAAATTTATTGGTTAAAGAAAATCCCCTTTACGACTTTTATTTTTTAATTCAAAAGCGGAGATAAGTAATAAAATGGACGATAAAGGACTCGTATTCACACCGTAATTACGCTACCGATTTCATAAAGTAATACATCCTTAACGGGGGTATTTTCGTCATTTTAGCAACATTTAAAGAACAGTTATTTTGGTTCGGTACGATTAGAATATTTGGGCCCAATTCAACTCTTATTTCAATGGGCCTCGGTCTGATAAAACATTCTAATAAGATTATCCAATAAATTGAATTTTGTTTTTCAAAAAAAGCGAAACAAAAAGAATCATTGGCAAAGGAAACAAAACAGAGAAAAAAAAGTTATGGGGAGAAGCGGGATTTTCTCTTCGCATGGCGCTAGTCTCGGTCGCGCCTGAAGAAGCTGCCTCCATAGCCACACACAATCAACATGCCAACGTTATTTCTCCTCCTCCTCCATTCTCTGCTCTTTCTTTCTTTCACAAGAAAAAAAAAAGATATTTTCTCCGCAGTTCTTTGAATCGAAGTTGGTTTTCTGGGTTTTGATTTTGTGCCCATCATGGATGAAGAATACGATGTGATCGTTCTCGGCACGGGTCTCAAGGAATGTATTCTCAGCGGTCTCCTCTCAGTCGATGGCCTCAAGGTTTGATTTATCACTCATTTCCATGGCGACGATACATCGTATCTGTTAATCTCTGCGATGTTTGTCCTCGTTTTTTTATTTCGGCGATTGTGAACGCGAACGTTTCTGAAATTCGCTTCGATTTAGATGGGTTCCCTTTGATATGCCTTAAGACTTTACCCTTATCTCCTTCACATCGTTCTTCGTATAGCGAATTCGTTGTGGTTTCTGGGCATATCTTTCACGTGTTTACCGTCTTCATTCACTGTAACGATGAGATCTTACTCTGATTTTGCCCAAAACGCGTGATGGGTCGATGAAATCGTGAGATGCACTGACTGATCACATCTTGTCAGGTTCTGCATATGGACAGAAACGACTACTATGGAGGAGAATCGACTTCTCTCAACCTCACCCAGGTTTGATCTTCTTCTCATTACCATCACATTTTCGAGACAGTCCTTGCAGACGCAGGATTTGAATCGTACCATATAATATTTGTATATTCTGTATGTAATCGTAGCTATGGAAGCGTTTCCGGGGAAGCGACACTCCACAAGACAATCTTGGGGCAAGCAGAGAATACAATGTTGATATGATACCCAAGGTATACATACAGTCACAGATTTTAAGTCTTTCTGTGTAGACTAATTTGCATAATCCATACCTAAATTTCGTCTCACGAGGGCGAACGATTGATTATTCTGCAGTTTATTATGGCCAATGGTCTCCTTGTTCAGACCCTCATACACACCGATGTCACAAAGTACCTTAACTTCAAAGCTGTGGATGGCAGCTTTGTGTACAAGAAAGGGAAGGTATTAAAGACAGGGTGTAACTTCTCTTTCTTTCGAAAAGATGATTCATATTGTCTGTTATGAGCTTAATTTGAGAGTCCATTCATTGGTATGTAATTCGTAGATCTACAAGGTGCCAGCTACTGATGTTGAAGCCTTGAAGTCGCCATTGATGGGACTGTTTGAGAAGCGGAGGGCGAGAAAGTTCTTTATCTACGTGCAGGACTACGATGAGAAAGATCCCAAGTCTCATGAAGGTTTGGACCTCAACAAAGTTACAGCCAGAGAGATCATCTCGTATGTTGCATCTAACTCACTACCCTTTATATCTCAGTGATTCATTTTACCCGTGTAATGAATTGGCGAAACTCTTTTTAAGTATGTAATAATCTAACATCTACATAAACCTAGTTGAACAATTTGGTATTATCATGCCTTTGGTGGGATTTTATTCTGGGCGGTTTTGGTAGAATCATCGAAGGATATGCCTACTGTTCTAACTGAAAAGGCAGTTTATTTTCGCCATGCGTGTTTTTCTTTTTGATTTAACAGAAAATATGGGCTGGAAGATGATACAATTGATTTCATTGGTCATGCATTGGCACTTCACAATGACGATGAGTACCTGGATCAACCTGCTATTGATTTTGTCAAGAAAATTAAGGTGGAGTATACAGTCATGAAAACATGAAACTCTACTCACCAAGTGCTTATCTAGTTATTGTGAGAATGCAAATAGCTTCTTAACTTATCTGCGATCTTTTGTGGTGAAGCTCTATGCAGAGTCTTTGGCTCGGTTTCAAGGAGGATCTCCTTACATCTATCCTCTGTATGGTCTTGGAGAGTTGCCACAGGTTTCTTCCATTTCCAGCTTCACTTTCTGTAACTTCTTCTTGCCGATGTCCCATCTCATGTTCCATTCCGTTGTCTTTCAGGCGTTTGCACGTTTGAGTGCTGTGTATGGTGGGACATACATGCTCAACAAGCCTGAGTGCAAGGTATTGAAAAAGAAAAAAGACTCTTGTATTTTCCCATTGTTGCTCGACTGCGCGCTGTCCTGAACTTCTAAGTGGCAGGTAGAGTTCGACAGCGATGGGAAAGCTGTCGGTGTCACTTCTGCAGGTGAAACTGCAAAATGCAAGAAAGTTGTTTGTGACCCTTCTTACTTGTCCGATAAGGTAATCGAAACAATAAGAAAAGAAACATAGGTTACAATATGGCCGGCCAGTCAGTATTATACAATATTTGTGTAACATATACTCCTTATCTTTGTCTGTGAGACTTTTCAGGTTCAGAAAGGCGGGAAAGTTTCTCGGGCAATATGTATAATGAGCCATCCTATCCCAGACACAAGTGATGCTCACTCAGTTCAAATCATTCTGCCTCAGAAGCAGCTGGGTCGTAAATCTGACATGTAAGAACACACCGTTCTCAATCATCAGAGATCATTACAGAAAGCTGTGGGAACCAATCTGTGATGGTTTGGTTTTTTTGGGATTGGGCAGGTATCTGTTCTGCTGTTCATACGCTCACAATGTAGCTCCAAAGGGCAAATACATAGCCTTTGTTTCGGCAGAAGCTGAGACTGACAATCCGGAGGAAGAGCTGAAGCCTGGAGTCGACTTGCTCGGGCCTGTCGATGAGATATTCTACGATTCTTATGACATTTACTTACCCAGCAACGATGCTGAGAAAGATCACTGCTTCATCTCTGCTGTAAGATCACACCTAAACTCTAAAAACACATAATTTTTCGAGTCCAAAGAGATTCATTATGATCTTAATCACAAATCAGGAGGAGAATCTAACTCCGGTTTTGGGTTTGCCTCTATATTGCAGACTTATGATGCATCCACACATTTTGAGAGTACAGTGGTGGACGTGCTTCAGATGTATACTAAGATCACTGGCAAGGTAAAACGACCTGTATACCCTGGAAAGGGCGGAGTCAGTTAACCAAAACTGTGTTTCTTGTCTCGCAAGTAACATGATTGCTCCTCGGTTACGTTGATTGATTTCCGTTTCTGGGTTTTTGATTTGTGTTTCAGACACTTGATCTGTCTGTGGACTTGAGTGCTGCAAGTGCCGCTGCTGAAGAATGAAGCGTGTTTTGTCCTTATCTTCGTAAGGGATTGAGTTGCAGAGGGTTTCAGGATTACAGTAATTATTGTTCTTTGAATTGGTTTCTTGCTTGCAAAGAAGCAGAACACAGTTTCTGATTTGTTTCTGCGTTTGTTCAGAAGTTTATACTTATTACCATGGGTGGATTCTATAATATTAAGACAAGATTCATCAAAACGGGTGACAGGATGGTTCATCAATCGAACGGTCATAATCTGGTCAAAATCAAACGGTCCACGTCAGAATGATTCTCCGTATAATCTAGTTTGATGGGCCGGCAAGGCCCAAATTCACCAGTGCAAAACGTGACGGGGGAGAAATAACCCCGTGTTTCAATAAATGCCCAGTGTTCTAGAGTGTTCGATTAATATCCAATGAGAATGGGCCACGTGTATATTTTGTTACCCCAGATTTGGCCCGCTATATAAATAATCATCTCCAGGGTTGTGGTGGTAGACAAGTTCACGAATTTTCGTCGAGAAGACCGTTTCATTTCTACGCCGCCTCTGTTAAAATGGCTCGCCGAAGCTCCGGAGGTAGAATTTCTCTTTTGATCTCAGATCTATTTTGTTTCTAGGGTATCGTGTTAGGGTGAGATATTCGCTTCGGGGTTGTGTTGTGTGTGCACCTCTGGTCTAGGGTTTACGTAGTATTTGAACTGTTGTTTTGGGTTTGTGATGATTCGTTTACGTTTGTGTGTTGTATTTGATGGAATGCGTCTCGGTGCTGAAGGTGACTAAACTGAGATGATGTGTACTATTAGTTCGAATTCTTTGCACTGTGTTGCTTGGTAGGGTTTTTTCCCTCGATTTCTCTATGGTTTTTAAATTTCGGGAAATTATTGTTCAGGCTCGATGTTGTCGATCTGTTTTCTTTGGGTAGGATGCTTTGTCGGAGTTGTATGTCGTTTGTTGTACTGACCGATATGATTTGGTTTTTACTTCGATGGAACACCAAATGTGTTAGCGGATGGGGTATTTTGTATGCGAGCTTTGACATTTTCAGTGTCCTGTCCGCAACTTTTATGTTATCTTTTGCAGGAAGACCTGCTCCTCGTGCTCGCCCAGCAGCTGCTCGCAGCCCACCTCCTCGACCTGGTATCTTCATAATAGACCAAATTTTGTCAATCTGTTGTTCATCTCTTTAGCTACTTAGTTGTTTGTGTTTTCTGTAATGTTAAATCTCATTTTGGATCGCAGTTAACCATGCCCCTCCTCCAGCTCCTGCTCAGCCCAGCAGCGGTGGATCTATGTTCTCCGGCATTGGTTCTACCATAGCTCAGGGTATGTGCTAACTGGTCTCGTTCGGGTAATTTGTGCATTCCTTTTGTTTAGGTGAGCTTATTTGATGGATTTGTCCCCTGACTCGTTTATTGAAAATAGGTCTGGCTTTTGGTACTGGAAGTGCGGTTGCACACAGGGCAGTGGATGCTGTGATGGGCCCACGAACCATTCAGCACGAAACTGTGGTCTCTGAGGGTTCCAGTGCTGCTGCTGCCCCTATGGCAAGCAGCACGGGACTTGGTGCCTGTGATATTCATGCAAAGGCTTTCCAAGATGTATGTAAATCTTTTCTCGCACGGTTTCCTCGCTTGTTCTAGTAGTCCTGGTCTTTGTGCATATAGTTTGCAAGTATTGATAATGTTTAGATGAATTCTCGTGCGTGGCTTGGGTAGAATTATAGGCACTTAACATAATTTTTGGCCAAAGTGATGAAGCGAATGCCAGATCCTTGTTAGGCTAACGATTTTGGTGGTTGAACAACTAGTGATCGTTGTTTGGGTGTTAAATTTTATGGGGTAGACTAGTCAGTTCCTTGGATCTTCGCTTATCTTTGCTGATGTAGTTAGGGGTGTATATATACACAGAAAAGGAAAGGGTTTCTGGATGGGGACAAACAGGCAAATACATAGAAATTGAACTCTTTGTCCATAACTTTCTTTATAAAAATGTAGAAGCAGCGTAGAATTTGGTTTTATCCAATCATATTTGGAGGGGACTTTACGATACCGAATAGGATAAAGAGTCGATTGCATATGATATGTTTCTATGACATCTCTTGCATTCTGTGATTGTCTTTAGCCCATTCTGATTCAATGATGGACGATTGCAGTGCTTGAGCGGCTACGGGAACGACATCAGCAAGTGCCAGTTCTACATGGACATGTTGTCTGAGTGCAGGAAGAACTCTGGTTCCGTGATGGCTTAAGTTCTACGGGAACAACGACATGCTGTTCTTGCTCTGTTGCTATGAATAACCGATTTCCTGGACAACGTCTGGAAGTTGAAAAAGTCGTCATTTTTTTTTTTAATCGAAAGACCTGTTTCATTTGGGTGATTATGTTACCTCATGTCTGTCTTGTCCGACGATAACTATTAAAATATCACCTGAACAATGATAAGGTTGAAAAGGTGTCGGTCACTAATGAACCCAATGGTGCTGAGATCGAAATTATCATTGGGTGGATGATTAAGCAACGTTTCCTGCTAAATCGCTTTAATAATCTCTTCTGGTAAGCTTGCGTTTCAGCGGATTGTCTATATACTGTGTTTAACATATTTATGTTTTGCATATATATACATATACATGTACATTCTGAGATCATGAAGGCACTGATTTCGTTGTTGATCTCTACTTCCTGATTATCGACCTTTTTGGGACGAGGGACGATCTTTAAAATTGAAGGGGCTGCTAAACAAATAACGTAAACATGTGGGGCCTTTTAGACATTTTACAAAGTATGAGGGGTTTAAGGCAACAGGCCTAGATTTATCAGTACTCGCACGCACCGCATCGCACAGTTCTCAATGATCCGGCCTCCGTCGATGGCTTGCCGGCTGCTCACGGGGAAAACTCAGCCGGTGTTTGCCGCTTCTCTTATACCGCGTCTGGGAACCCGACGGAGCTTTCGATCGGACGCAGCGCTCGATGCCATAGAGAAGGCGTTGGAGGAGAGAGTGCCAAACGTGGTATTGTACAATTATCCTTCCTTCTCCGGAGCTTACTCCGCTCTCTTCGTTCATCTCTACCACGCTCGTCTCAGTCTTCCATGCCTTGTCCTGCCTTTCTCTTCCTTCGTTCCCTTTCGGTAAAATTTTCCTCTCGTTGTCGTTGTTTCTGAATTTTGGTCATTTTGGCAATACAATTGTTGAAACGACGGCTCAAAACTGGAATTGGAATTTATCGCTATTCGTCTTCCAATCCGAGCAAAAATTACGATCTCGGGGTGTGCTCTTGCAGGGCTGAAGATCTTTGTGCGGAGGGGTTTGAGAGGTTTTATATTCTGGATTTTATTGGTCCTAAAGGTTTTGTCTCCGAGCTTTGTCGGAAAACAGCTGCCGAGTATGTACAGTGACATCGCGATTTTAACGTTACAAAAGTATTGAATCCGACTTATGTGACGGTCTTATTTCCTGGGTTTAAAGTGGCTTCCTCTGTGATTTCTCCTTTGAGATTAGGATCATCTGTTTCGATCACCGGAAATCAGCACTTTCACGGATTTGCGCTGAAGAATGGGATACAAGGTGTGTCAAAACTAGTGTTGATACCGAAAAGAGTAGCTCGAAAGCTGTGTACGATTACTTCTCTAGTAAACTGACAGATCGGGGCCTTACGAGGTAAGCTAGATGATGATAAAGTGCCCTGCTTTTGTTTTCGCAGTTCAGTTAAGGTTGTGTCTTGAGAACATGATCTATGTCTCTGTATTGATTAGGGTATTCCTCTTAGTTTATTAGAAACGGAAGACAGGAGTGGTGTTGAAACAGTCCTTGACTATATCGAAGACATGGATCTTCGACGATGGAGCTTGCCAGATGTTAAGGCTTTCAGTGTTGGAATCAAGGAGTGGCTCTCAAGGATCAACTGCATCACTAATCCTTACATGTTTGAACAGGTTTGGTCCTTCTTTTCCCGGAGACCCTTAAGCTTCAGCACTTGTCGTGACATCTTGTTAGTCTCACACATTTTCTGGATATGTGGTCTCCGGGCAATGCTTTGTTTCTGGGTATATGTCAAATTTAGAAAAATGTGGGATGTTCCTTTTTGTTTCGGCATCGCTTGCTTTTGTGAACTCTTGTGCATGATCTTGTATCGTTTTTACTCTTCTCTCATTGAAATCTTGGGTCTATGTTGCAGTTGTTGAAAATAAGCCCTACGGATCTCATTACTTGTGGGAATTCGTATTTATCATCTCGTCAGCTTGCTGCCAGTAGATTGTTGGAATTGAATAAAATTTTCAAAGTCAGATTAGGAAGAGGATTCTATGGGGAGTGCCTGGTATTGCTTTTACGCCCTACTTTTGCGAAATTTCCCCCTACATTCTTCATATCACGTTAATTTTCTAACTACTTCTGGATTCGTAGGGAATGCGGGCAGATGGCAGCCATCATTTAAGCGACGAACTTGGCAAGCTACTTAGCTTACAAAGTGCTGCAGCTGGTCTTAGGTAATTGCCTTCAACTTCCGAAGCTGTCCAAACGTGGAATTCGAGCTTTCTTTCTTTGAATCCTTTCCTAGTTGAAGAGCTGAAGAAGAGACCATAAGAGTTTTCTTGTCAATGTCCTTAAACCTCAGGCCAATAGGAGCGGTCACATTCATGCAACGGAACAATCTTAAGATGTGTTTGAGGAGTACTGAGAACAAAACTGATACCTCCGAAGTAGCAAAGGTCTGTTCCGAACTGGTGGTTGGAAAAACAAACCAGTTTAAAGATGTCTGGCTGTCTAGTTGAGGTGATCACTGACACATAGATTGTAAACTGTATTTATGGAAGGCATATGGAGGAGGTGGATCCCCAAGTTCCAGTTCTTTCATGATTAGGATGGATGAGTACAATCAGTGGGTTTCAACGGATTGATTCTTCCCCCATTATAGACCTCCTCCCATGGTATGTGATCATCTCAACCTGCTGTTTCCATTGGTTTTGGTTCGGTTATTCGGTAACTATTCGATTGCCAGTTTAACAGTCTAATTTTCTGAGTGTATAACTAACTTATGGAATGACTGGTGTGGAAAGAACCTTTTGATGTTGGTATTTAGTCAGTGTGTGATCATTGATATTTGATAGTAGATCTAAATAACATCACACATGTATGCATTGTCTGATAATCTGATACGATTCGCCTCGTTTAGACCTTCACAGGCTGCACCGGCGGCGGAGGCAGAGCTACTTCTTTCTCCGATCCAAACGGGATATGCATTATTCGGAGGAGCGGGTACGGACTTTCTTCGATTCCGGCCGAGGTGGAATAGAGTCCCGGGACTCGACGAAACAACCCCGGTCCGATTTGTCGAGTCTTCGGAGCCAAACCCACCAGAAGATTCCCACAAACATATTTTATGTTTCTTATGGTTTATGTGCGTTCATGTACTTCGAGCGGATTAATGGAAAATACAAGGTAAAAGTATATTATATCTCATATATATACCAATTACTAAGCAATTGCATTGTTATATGTAGTATCTACCCCAAGAGAAGAGAGGAACCTTATCAAAACACCGGTTCAAATCAATCCGATTCAACCAGCAAACCGAACCGGATGCGGGAACCGGAACCGGAACCGGACAATGTTTCCGCTTGGAAGCAACCGCTGTCGTAGCGGAAAACCAGACATTATTGGCGATGTTGAATTTAGAAAGAATATCGATGTTCCGATATCATCAAAGGCCAAGACAAGTCTGTTACATAATATGAAAACTGCAAAGATTACCCACTCAATGTTCAGACAAGTGAAAGTTCACCGGCAGGAACTGATCTCTTGACAAGCTTAGCCCATGATTCGTTCGTTTCCTGGATTACCTTCAAAGCATAATCCTGTATACCATCACCATTTTTTTCTTGTCAGATTATTGTCAAAGATGCAGCAACAAAGAAAGATCGAATGAATGACTGTTTTTTTTTACTTTGTTCGCGGGTTTGTTCCCAAGACCAAACTTGTTAGCAGGCTTTCCATCAGGGATCTTGTAGTCTCTGAACCAGTCTCTAATGGCTGTCAGAGTACCCTGAAAATGACATTAACAGTCAGAATCCACATCGAGAATTGCCTGAAAAATTTAGAGTTTTCACATGGATATGGGAATTGGTCTCACCGGGAAATGCTTCTCGACATCATCAACATCATTCACAAGGTGAGCTTTTGGGTCATCCAAAGAAATTGCAATGATCTTCCAGTCCAGTTCTCCCTCATCAATCATGGCCAAGGCAGCCAAAGGCTTGACCTTTAGAACCTCACCTATCTTCCTCCGGGTTTCACCGATCTCAACAACATCAACTACAACATGTACAAGGGTACGCGAGATAAATCCGCAAATCTTGGAGTAATAACTCTTGAGAAGAAAAACGCATTCCAGCCGTAAAATATCACTAGCCCTAGGTTACCTGGATCATTATCCCCGAGAGCACCTTCAACTTCAGAGTTCGCATGAGATGGGTCTTCCCATGTTTGTGGAAGCAACCCATAGTTCCAGTTTATGTTGTATCTGGAGGATAAAGATGCATGATAAATCTAGCAGTGGATATGATGCAGTGCATAAAAAACAACCCAAACAAAGATAAAAACTTTCGGTCTCTTAAAAGAACTGTGAACAGACTACTGTACTCATTATAGCTCCCGGTGAATTAAGAGAAGCAAGCAAGCCAGAAAAAATCCAAACACCCACCCAGAATCAGTACAGGACAAAGACACATTAATGCACAGCAATGTCCAGCGACGAGGAGACAGGCAATTGATTCTACAATCTAAGATATATTAATTCCTGAAACAGGCGGTGCATCAAGAAGTCAACCGAAGACAAACAGAACTGCAAAGCATGAGTTACAGAAGCGTGCTTACGGATAATATCGAAGTTTCCCCTTCTTGGTGTCTTGCTTGATAGGAGTGAAAGACTCGTCAGTAGCGACTTCCATCTTTGCACTTGACTCTTTAGGAATCTCCACGATGAAGTTGAAAACATCATTCCCCAAGTGCAATGGTATATCATGCCATGGAGAAACCTATATACACAAATGTATACCATTCTTCAGCCTTTACAGAGCACAGGAGGACCAATGAAACACTCTGTACCAAATTTAATCCACCCACGAACGTATATCGCAATACAGGAAGAGACATCGACATGAGTCTCTTAGTAAAACAGGGCTAATCACGGAATAATACAGAAAATAAATTCCATAGATGCATTTTTCCGACAAGAATGGAACAAAATCGCCACCACTCGCCGATCCACAATGCTAACATTTTTAACAAAATTCAAGTCGAATGGCCATTCCCAATCAGATAGCTTTATGGGAAAATGCAGAATGATCCGGAACTCGGAATCCACATGTCTTTAGACGTAGCAGGAAAAATTCATCCATTTTCTCAGAAGCCAAACAGAAAAGCGAACACATAGAGAAAAGAGAAAATCACCGATACCTTCTTCCCTGAGCCGTCGAGGAAGAAAACCCGGTAATCTAGGGTTTCAGGCTGACCTTCTTCCTTAAACTGAACCTGGGGATTGTATATCGCCGTGCAAGAGAAGGGTCTCTTCGATGTCAACACCAAGCTTCTCCGGTTAAAGCTGAGACCACCAAAACCGCCAATTTTACAGGTAAGGAACGGCCG